AGTTCCGTCAGAAGCTACATTTCATCGAGTCCAAGAAAAGGTTGGTCGTGTTATCATAGAAGTTGCCAGAGAATCTGTTAATTATTGGAAATCTCGAATGAGAAAATGTTCGGGACTTTTGTTTGACGGTTCTTGGAGTCAGAGAAGAAATGCAATGTTTTGCTATGTACAATTTGTAGAAGAGAAACTCAAAAAAATTGTAGATTGGGAAGTGATATCTAAATCTTTTAAAAATTTCAAAGGTAATTTCAACGGAAAATCAAATGAAATGGAATTTGAAGGCTTAAAAAGAATGCTGAAGCGTTGGAATAATGAAAAACGTGTAAATTTTTTTGTGCATGATGGCGATGTCAAAATTGTTTCTACAATCAAAATACGTTCAAAGGTATCAGAGAATACAGAGATCCTGGACATTTTCTTAACAATATACAGAAAAAGCTCAAACTGCCAGAATTCAGAATCTTATCTAGCATTTCAAAGAATTTATTGCGTTGGCTTAGGCAACTTCTCAATGACACACATATGTCAATTAAAACAAAGAAGTTTTTATGGTTGAATTCCGCTAAACATTATGCCGGAAATCATAAATTTTGTCCAGATCCTGAAAAATGCAAGATGATTAAACCATGGAAATATGCAAAAAATAAAACTGCTATAAAAACACTTAAAAAATTCCTCGAAGATACCGTAAAAATCTTTGATATGGTAAAAAAGATTCATTCAACTCAAGTAGTTGAATCGATAAACCATATCAAAGCAATGCTTGCTAATAAAAATATTAATTGGCATGCTTCTTGGCCAATTAGGATGGCAGTCACAATATTGCATTTCAATGAAAGTATGTTTGAAACGATTGTAGCAACAAGATACAGGTTAAATTTACCAACAATGCCAGAAATGATGAACAGATATTTCAGAATGTATGATACAACAAAAGATTTAATCAAAGCATTCAAAAATTCAAAGCAAGTTCAAAAAAAGTTTGCGGCATTAAGAGCTATAAAGAGAGGTCTTCAAGCTACCGATGATCGTATTACTCTTAAATCACATAAATAATTATTAAATTTATTTCACCCTCAAAACATCATAATCTTGCACCTTCTTTGAATAAACACTTTCACCTTCTATTTTTAATTAATGTTTTTTAATTGTCCAAAATTTTTAGATTATATAAGATATAATTTTTTTAAAAGTATTATTTTCTAAAAGATAAGTATATATTCTTAATCACAAAACCTAGCATTTTATCATATCTATATATCAGCTTCCTAAATATAATACTCATATAGTTAGTATGATTTTAATGTTTTTGAACATGAAACGAAAATATGATTACAATCATATAACATAATGGAGTTATTGATATAACTTATATGGATGATACATTAAGAAGTCTTCCAACAATATAGATATAGTTGTAGATTCCTATGATTCCTTTTATATTGTGAGATAATAACATTTTTATGCTGTCAGGAGCCTATGAGTGCCCATCCTTAAATTGTGTCATTTCTTCGAAATCTCTTGTGACTTTTTTGATAACTTTAACACTTCTCTCTGAATCCAGACCTTTAATTTGCAACTTAATCAGGAATGAAGGAACAACACTGGAATATAACTCGATGACAAGTTCATCGAGTCGAAGATTTCGCCTTTCTGGGAAGTACTGGTGCTTCAAAACCTTGAAATGTGATTCCGAGATGTTGTTTGTTCCATCTCCTTCATTTCTATAGCGAAGCATCCACCTGTCAAGATGATGGCGCCACTGTTGGTCAAAGTATTCACGGGCAGCAGGTTCCTCATTTAAAATTTCTTCTAAATTGTTGTAAACTTCATCATGATCAATTTCTTCCTCTTCAGAACCAAAGACCAATAACTTCATTAAGTTATAGAAAGTTTCGAAGTTGGAACGATCTTGAAACTTTTCAGCCTTTCTCATGACAGCGCGCAACACATGAACGCCACACCAAATGATCTGGCATAAGGGGATGGCTGTTTCAACAGCATTTGTGATTTGAGGTGCGCAGTCCATTGAAAAATAAGATGGTTCGCGATTGATGGAGCCAAAATATGCTGTGAGACAAACTTGTATATTTTCACTTGTGTCGGGCCAAACGAAAAAATACAAAAACGGAAAAACAATTGATTCCGCGAATTTGCCAGTGACGGCATAAAATGGTATGCGAGAGCGCAAGAGCTTATAAGTGGAATCAATGTGATAAGTTTGTATTTGATGTGAAAAAGCATTTGCTTCGAATGGGGCGTAATAGAAAATCATACGATCTGGCTCGTGAATAAACTCGATGAGATCATCTGGAGAATGATGACTCAACCATGTCGACAAAAATTGAAGACAATTGCAAGAGATGTAACATCATCCGCTGAGAAACGGGTATTGATTGCATGAAGGCGTTTAGAAAACTTTTTTAAAGCATCTGTAGATTGTTGAAACATTTCCGGAATGATCCCACTATCAAATGGGATATTAAGATCTTTGAAACACCTTAATTGTGCGTAAACACGGTCTTGATTTGATTCAAAATATCTTGTTAAATAAGATCTATAAAAATATGATGTAATTTGTTGTGATTTGTTTGGAAAGGGGCAGAATGATTGTGGGTGTTAATACATTTTCGTATGTGGTACTTGTCATCGGGAAGTGTATCAACAAGGAAGCGACATGGACAATTCGGCCACTTACAATTAAATTGGATTTTGATTTCTTTCTTTCCTAGTTTTATATGAATAACTACAACCTGCTTGGATTTCTTGTTGCACTCGATACTTAAGCAACTCGATATATGTGAGTTCGTGATCTTGGATCTGCATTAAAATGAAATGATTTGAAAGAATAAAGAATTTTGAATATATTGGTCTTATTTTGATAAGCTTGGTCGTGTTTTGAATAGCTTGGCCATCTAATTCAATTATGATCTTTGAAAATTAGGTGAAATAAAACTAAACATAAATGTAAAACTAGGGATATGAAATTTTGGTTGTACACCACTTGTATGTGCCGGATACCATTGTGTCAAATTTTTTCTGAAATTAACTTTAAAAGTACTAAGTAAGATCATTTGTTTTTGCATAATATAATGCCAATATGGTTTCTTTTGATTTTATTTCATTTATAAGCAAATCAGATTTACCCAAAAACTCCACTCCATAAGCGTTCATTTGCTAAATTAAAAAGTGACAATGGGCTAGTCTGTCCCTTTCTCCTATATTTCATATAGCAAGCTTTAGATATCTTCGAAAAAAAAGTAATAATATAAATAAGGGTAATGATTTATAATATTTTAAAATGCCTATTATTGATCATTGTTCTTGAATTTAATTGCGACCTTTTCACTTAAGGGTGCACTACGAGGATTAAAAAGTTCTCAATTTTTTCTGAGAGTTCTATCAATTGGCTAATCCTCCAAATTAATAAAAACTTATTTTTTTCTTTACAGGAATATATTTTTTCGATTAATATACATCATTTAGAATCACATATGGTATCTTCATATCATATATAACTTTGGTGGTCTAATATCAACTCTTTGATGGATTTAGAAAAACACTGGAAAAAACTTGATTTTGAGAAAGGAACAGACTAGCCCATTGTCACTTTTTAATTTAGCAAATGAACGCTTATGGAGTGGAGTTTTTGGGTAAATCTGATTTGCTTATAAATGAAATAAAATCAAAAGAAACCATATTGGCATTATATTATGCAAAAACAAATGATCTTACTTAGTACTTTTAAAGTTAATTTCAGAAAAAATTTGACACAATGGTATCCGGCACATACAAGTGGTGTACAACCAAAATATAAGTTAGTTTAAACATATATTGCTATATCTCATGATCTTACTTAGTACTTTTAAAGTTAATTTCAGAAAAAATTTGACACAATGGTATCCGGCACATACAAGTGGTGTACAACCAAAATATAAGTTAGTTTAAACATATATTGCTATATCTCATGATCTTACTTAGTACTTTTAAAGTTAATTTCAGAAAAAATTTGACACAATGGTATCCGGCACATACAAGTGGTGTACAACCAAAATTTCATATCCCTAGTTTTACATTTATGTTTAGTTTTATTTCACCTAATTTTCAAAGATCATAATTGAATTAGATGGCCAAGCTATTCAAAACACGACCAAGCTTATCAAAATAAGACCAATATATTCAAAATTCTTTATTCTTTCAAATCATTTCATTTTAATGCAGATCCAAGATCACGAACTCACATATATCGAGTTGCTTAAGTATCGAGTGCAACAAGAAATCCAAGCAGGTTGTAGTTATTCATATAAAACTAGGAAAGAAAGAAATCAAATCCAATTTAATTGTAAGTGGCCGAATTGTCCATGTCGCTTCCTTGTTGATACACTTCCCGATGACAAGTACCACATACGAAAATGTATTAACACCCACAATCATTCTGCCCCTTTTCCAAACAAATCACAACAAATTACATCATATTTTTATAGATCTTATTTAACAAGATATTTTGAATCAAATCAAGACCGTGTTTACGCACAATTAAGGTGTTTCAAAGATCTTAATATCCCATTTGATAGTGGGATCATTCCGGAAATGTTTCAACAATCTACAGATGCTTTAAAAAAGTTTTCTAAACGCCTTCATGCAATCAATACCGTTTCTCAGCGGATGATGTTACATCTCTTGCAATTTTTGTCGACATGGTTAAGAGTCATTCTCCAGATGATCTCATCGAGTTTATTCACGAGCCAGATCGTATGATTTTCTATTACGCCCCATTCGAAGCAAATGCTTTTTCACATCAAATACAAACTTATCACATTGATTCCACTTATAAGCTCTTGCGCTCTCGCATACCATTTTATGCCGTCACTGGCAAATTCGCGGAATCAATTTTTTTTCCGTTTTTGTATTTTTTCGTTTGGCCCGACACAAGTGAAAATATACAAGTTTGTCTCACAGCATATTTTGGCTCCATCAATCGCGAACCATCTTATTTTTCAATGGACTGCGCACCTCAAATCACAAATGCTGTTGAAACAGCCATCCCCTTATGCCAGATCATTTGGTGTGGCGTTCATGTGTTGCGCGCTGTCATGAGAAAGGCTGAAAAGTTTCAAGATCGTTCCAACTTCGAAACTTTCTATAACTTAATGAAGTTATTGGTCTTTGGTTCTGAAGAGGAAGAAATTGATCATGATGAAGTTTACAACAATTTAGAAGAAATTTTAAATGAGGAACCTGCTGCCCGTGAATACTTTGACCAACAGTGGCGCCATCATCTTGACAGGTGGATGCTTCGCTATAGAAATGAAGGAGATGGAACAAACAACATCTCGGAATCACATTTCAAGGTTTTGAAGCACCAGTACTTCCCAGAAAGGCGAAATCTTCGACTCGATGAACTTGTCATCGAGTTATATTCCAGTGTTGTTCCTTCATTCCTGATTAAGTTGCAAATTAAAGGTCTGGATTCAGAGAGAAGTGTTAAAGTTATCAAAAAAGTCACAAGAGATTTCGAAGAAATGACACAATTTAAAAAAGTCGAATGCATCAGTATGCTTGAAGCTGTTCAGAAAGGTCTGAAAAATGATACACTTGATCCCAATATTGTTTACTCAACATTAAAAATATTATTGCAAAGAAAACATTTGATTTAATAAACATTTAATTTATTATAATTAATTTTTTATTAAAGTATAGTAAAAAATGCTATAAATAAATTATTATATTTTATTAAAATGTGACTTTTAATAGTAAGTGAATAAAATAAATCCGGAATTGGGAAAGAAATAAGGTTAATTAAAAATAATGAAAATTACAAGTTTAAGGTTAATGAAAAAGTGACAATGGGCGAGTTTGTCCCCCACTCTGAAATATAGTTTTTCTACATTTTAACTTATTAAAAAATGATGAGAATGATTTAACTGTTTATAATTATTAAAATGATATGTGTGATATTTTCATTGAAATTAATAAGGTAAAAAGTGACATTTTAAAAAATTAAAAAACTAAAATCCTCTTGGATATATGCTATTGGGTATTTGCCAATATTTTAATCATATATAAGAGGTATCTGAGCATATGATTTTTTTAAAAAAATTATTGTGTTTTGTTATATATAAATATGGAACTAACTAATAACAATCAACAATCAATAATCAACAATTAAATGAATGTTATCATATTAATGGAAAGTGAATAATGTAACTAACTAATAACAATCAACAATCAATAATTAACAATTAAATGAATGTTATCATATTTATGGAAAGGGAATTATGTAACAAGCTAATATTAATATTTATGATGTAACCGTTATAAAAGTGACATATATGATGTGACGGTTATAAAAGTGACACACCAAGAGTGGCAATTCTAAATCAAATTTAATTTTATATCTTTTAATATATGAATAAAAATAATTTTTATTAATAAGAATAAATATAATTTTTTATTAATAAGAATTTTCACTGTCATCTTCAGAAACTGATTCTTGATAGTTATATGCCATGCTATTTTCATCCATGTTATCATCCCATCTTTCAGCACCTCTACGTAATGGACGTCGGCACAAAAGTTTATTTGTAAGACCTGCACATATTGCAAAGGTGTGTTGATAAAATATTAGATCACCCTTGATTTTCAATGGCCATTTACCACCAATCACTCTCCAGTATCGTTTGAGTCGAGAAAAATAATTCTCGACAATGATTCGACCACTGGAGAGTTTTCGGTTGTATTCCTTCTGATCATCTGTTAATTCTGTATTCCTTTGACGTTTAAAAGGAATTTTTGCCCATGGTATTATATCATTAATACCTTGATATCCTAAATCTGCTAATAAGCATGGCTCTGTCTCAATTTCTGCCATCATTCTTTCTTTTTCTGCTTTTAAGATAGAAATGAGATTTTTTGTTTTTTTAAATAATCTAAAATCATGTCTTTTTCCACGGATTGGTTTCGAAAAGTGAAGTAATCTTCCTTTGGGACTGACAAAACATTGAACTTTGACACAACACATTTTATGTTTTCCAGAGTAATATAAATTTTGATCTTTTGCTCTTCCAATTTCTTGTACTGTAGCGTCCAAAGCTCCAAGCATACCGGGATATTCGGCAGATTTTTCACTTTCATCCCACCGAATATAGGGTCTCCATTTGACAAAGTCCTCACCAATTTTTAAACCAATTTTATTTATGATATCCATTACAATAGCTCTTGTATGTGTTTTTTTAATTCCAAATTGTGCTCCTAAGTCTTTAAATGAACCAGAATGTTTCAACCAAGTTAATGTTATTAGCAATTTCGATTCTAATGACACTATTGTGTGTTTATAATGATTGTGTTCAAGTGTATTAAAATAAAGATGTAATAAATCTCTAAAATCTTTGCATGTCAAATTTGTCAATTTTGTGAGACAATTATTTTGTTGCACCCTTAAAATTTCTTCGATCCTAATTTTCAGCGGTTCTTTGATCTTTGGCTCTGGTACATCATTTACAGGAACATCAACAAATGATTCCATATATTCTGCTTCTCTTTGGGTAAAAAATGAAATTGGATCTGTTGGATCGATTTCATTTTCTGAAATTTCAGATGAAGTCGCAATTTGAATGGAATTAACCGCTGTCACGTTTTCTTGTGCTGGTGGTGGATTTTGTTCTGGTGCTGCCGATTGGACATTAATGAAGTGATAATTGTTGATTTCAAAAATTTTATTAATTTTATAAAATTGATATTCAATTTTTAAAAGCACAAAGATGTTCGGCCATTTATGAAGCATTGAATAGAATTTCGACAAGAAAAAAATTATTCTAATTCTTGTATTGATTATAAGATTTTGCAAACAATTAAAATTATATGGAAAATGATACAGATTATCTTCCAAATACAGCAAAAAATATAAAATCGATTTATTAATAAATCCAAGGCGTCTTCAGGCTTAAAAGAGATTTTTTCGCCTGTGATGTTTATTATTATCTAATAACTTATCTTATTTTCGCATATATAATATTAGTAGATGAGTGCAAATAGTATTTGATGGACACTAGTTGAAAATACCATTTTTTTTTAAATAATTATAAAAAAAATGCTCATTCCTAAAATTATTTTTTATTACTAGGATATCATACTCACCAGACACAATTAAGATCATGTAAAGTAAGAAAGCGCATTTCAATGCGTCACGTTTCCCATATATAAAGGCGAAGAGGACTCAGTTGAACTACACAGGCAAGGCAGTATTGATCCTTGATGGATTTAAGAGTCACAATCACCAATCTTTCATTGATCAGTGCCAAGAGAATCAAGATTATCCAAATACCGCCACATTCATCAGATCAAGTTCAGCCATTGAATCTTGAAATATATGGCGTATTCAAGGGAAAATACCAAGCCTTTCCTGCTCCAAAGGGTGTAAATCCATAAACAAAGCAAATCGTCAAGATTATTGAGGCATGGCATGACACATGCAAGATAAAAAACATCAAATCTGCTTTTAAAGTCGCAGGAATTGATGTCGTTTATGATACGGTTACCCAAAAGAACACAATTAAAGTTGATACAAATTTGGCAACTAAAGTTCGTCATTTCCCTGCATGTGTTCAACGTCAAATGTCTAAAAACAGAATAAACCTTACGAATTAATGATTATTTTATAATTCTGAAGTAAATCAAAATTAATTTTTTAAATAAAACATTAAAATTATATATGATGTAAATTGACTGTTTTTTAATCGTTACTTCGACAACTTTTTCCTGCCTTCGACACTTTTTTCGGGGGACTGTATGATATATATGAGATATATAAATATATCGATGATATATCGATGATATATATATGATATATATATGATATATATATGATATATATATGATATATATATGATATATATATGATATATATATGATATATATATGATATATATATGATATATATATGATATATATATGATATATATATGATATATATATGATAATTGATCAAGCACACGTTTGAAATTTTATCAATGTTAGAAATATTCCATTGGTCTCTCTAAGCATGCGGCGGTTATCCGCACTGTACGTTTATTATTGAATTTATACACATTTTCGGGGCCGAATGGCGGGTACGAAGTAGCCGCCATTCGGCCAAATACAAAATGAACAAGAATTATAGTCATCACCCTTTTATTTTATTATTATTCCATATGGCTAAATTTTTAATCTGAGTTGATGTTATAAGAGATAAAATAATGATGATGAAATATTTTTATTATGGGACAAGGAACCTGCAAGGTACTGACTCAAGGCCAGCGCTTTGCAGGCTCCTATTCCTATCGTAAAGTGTCTAAACTTTGAGTTAATATCTTGCAATTTCAAGTTTAAGACCACAAATTGCCCGTTTAAACTTTATATCTCATTAATGTATTTTTAATCCATACTATTTATTATACTTTTATTAACTTAAAACAAAAAAAGTTCTTCAATAATCAATTGATTTCAAATTTTAATTTCTTATTTAATCTTAACCATTGTCACTATTATGATTAAATCAAGTTATAACCAAACTGATTTGTTAGCAAGACGTTATCATCAGTTTCCAAGCTGGAGTCGAAGCCAGCTTATCTACTGCATTCATAGCATTAGACTGGATGTTATCCAGATCCATTTGCTCATTAACTTGTTGAAAAATGACCACTTCATTCACAATTGTATTTAATCAACACTCAAACTTCATCCTCCAAACATATTACCCATGCAGCAAGTATACTCTCCTCAAGTACAAACTGTTTGTGGATGACATTTTCTTAAATACACAAACTTTTTACAAATTATTAAAAAAATTATACCAAATCAGCGACATTACTCAATCGGTCTTGAATCCTTTCATGATCTCCAAGCGAGCATTCATTAACTCTGGAGGCATATTCAAGTTGAAGCATGTCAAGATCAAACTCTGAGCAGATATTGTACGTTCGCATGTTACTGAAGATTCCCCAATCGTTATCATTAAGATGTAACGAATAATCAAAAATCTCCAAATCGGTCACAGTCTTAATTACTTTAAAGGGATGATTGTTGTTGGCTTTCTGTATGACATCTGTTCTTCAATTCGAATTTCATAAACTTAATTGCCCTTAGACAAACATCGAGGTCCTCAACAGCTTCATTCACTGTTTCATCATGACTATCCTGAACTACTTCAGCTTCAGTGAATTTATTGTTCGGAGGTTCAAGATCTTTTTCTGGCCATCTAGCTTCTGGTGCTTCTGTCAATATTTCTTCTACTGCCACATTTACTCTTTCTTCAATCAGGATTTCTGTAACATCATCAATCGGATCTTTCGGTTTTTCTATATAGTAGAACAAGCTTGTGTATCCATTGGCTGGTGGAGGGAATTCACGGTTGTGAATTGCCTCACGGGCGTAAATCAAACCTTTCGGTGTTGTCAAGTAAGCAAATGCCCAAATAACGCCATACTCGGAATTGATGGTTTTGGCTAAAAGCCATTGATAGAAGATACTGGCAAAGCGATTGCCCTTCTGACGTAACTCCTCAAATGCCATTTCAGCATTATGGATCACAGGATAAAATCTTGAAAGAGGAGTTTTTGCATCTTCAAACAAAAGAATCATTGCAGCAAAGATTACTGTACAGTCAGACAGCTCGTCAAAGCTGTCTGGCACAGAATGAAGCTGCGTGACAATATTGATTCTTTTTTTCAGGGGCAATACCAAGTGAGGTGATAGGCACCATACAACGTTCGTCCGACCAACATTTTTAAAGAACAAAAATTGGATTAGAGAACTCTAAATAGTATAGGCAATCATAGCGTATTGGAAAGCATATCATATTATGTTATTAAAGAAATCTGGCTTATATAAAAAGTATCTCATTTCGATATTATACTAAATTTATTAGATAATTGCAGGGTGTATCATATTTGTCCTATATATACGTTTGGAACATATGATATGTGAATATTTTAAGTATTTATTTGGAATAAATTATGAGATTGTCAAATATGATCGACAATCATATGTGTTAATATTGTGGTGTTGTTTGTATAGTTTGCCTTATATGGATCAATCGTATTAGTGCTGGAATGAGGAAAGATTGCAAATTATTTGTCAGGGTTTTCCGATCTGAGTGCATATTTGCAGGGTCTTGCTTTGGCACCCTGCATCAATGTACTCAGACCGGGAAAAGCTTTCACTTTTGTTCGGCGATGCGGAGACGGTATGATCCGTGGGAAAAAATTGAGACCCACGATTCAGACTTTTTGATGTAGCATAGTTACACCCCATGTATGTACGAGCGAATATCAGTAATCATGTCATAGGTTATTCTATTCTAGTTATTAAGGATGATATAAAGGCTATAAAATCTTATATTTTATAATCTATGACAATTTTGTGATATTTCAGTTTCGATATGTATTAATAGAATGAAATGCAGTGGTGAATGCGTTTAAGTTCAGTCCTTAATCTTGAGTTTGAAATGAATTTCAAAATTATAAAAAAGTGTGTTTTTGAATAGATCACAGTGGTAACAAATCCGAATAACTATAAGCTATGTTCGCATGTAACTAATTTTGGTAGAAAATCAAAAATAAGTTAAAATTATCGATAATGAAAACCAGAATAACCGGGAAGGGGGTCCTTTCTCAAGGTCAGGGCCCTCTTCTAGTTTTTCTGGGGCAGTAATCTTAATATGGAAGCCGAGTCTTGAGGATAAGTGTCTCAAAAAATGGACAATCACCTGAGACTCGGCAGTAGAGATTGTAAGCGAGGTTCTGATCTCTTATGAGGTCAGAGCTTGTATTTGTAAAATTTTTAGGGCTGAGTTCTTGCGAGACCGTCCTTATAATCGACGATCATCGCAAAACTCGGCCCTGAGGATTGTTATTGCAGGCTCTAGCCTCATGAGAGACCAGAGCTTCGTATTTGATGCTTCTCAGGGCCGAGTTCCGCTGAGAAGTGTCCGTGATTTGGACAGTCTCAGGGAACTCGACTCTGAGGATTGTAAGCGAAGCCCTGGTCTCTGCTGAGGCCATAGCCTGTGTATTTCTTTCTTTCAGGGCCGAGGTGAGAGGGGATCGTCAATGATGTGGACGATCTCCCTCAAACTCGGCCCTGAGGATTGTAATTGCAGGACCTGGCCTTTGCTAGGGCCAGAGCCTGTAGCTGTAGATCATTCATGGCCGAGTTTTGACGAGAACCTGCATCATGTTTGTGATGAGGTCAAAACTCGGCCCTGAGGATTAAATGTGCAGGCTCTGGCCTTTCCTGAGGCCAGAACCTCGTATGTGCACTCTCTCGGGACTGGGTTCCTCTCCGGCCATCCAGAATCAGGGCTGTCTTTGAGGAAGCCGGCCCCGAGGATGGTATGCGAAGCTCTGGCTTTTCCTGAGGCCAGAGCTTGTAATTTTCATTCAAAGCCAAGTTCCTCTCGGATCGTGCTTAATGAGGACGACCGTCCAGGAACTTTGCTAAAACAACTACTAATCTAGTGAAGCTCTAACATAAAACAAAAAATGAAAAAACATATCATTCAAGATTATTTTGTTGTAAAAATTTTTTAAAAATATTATATAAATTAAATAATTAATATTTATTTAAAACGATTACTATTGAAAATTTGAATTTGAACTTAAATTTTTTTGCAACTATTATAATTATCAATTTTGTATATTAATCTGTAATTTTATTTTGAACACGCACTATGTTTGAATACACTCTCTGAACAAAATGTATGGTGAATATATTTCAATAATTTTTTGTTCCGCATATGTTTTTTGCGTAAATAGCGCACCCTTAGGTCTCTCATCAAAATATTGAAGAGTATTATCACAAACAAGGTTAATTTGATGATTGTGTTGCTACAGATGAAATGTTAAATAATTTCAACAAATATTTTACCTTTCAGCAGATGTATTGTTGTCTTGGAAGTACTTTATCTAGTAACGTACCTCCAAGACTACCATACATCCGCTGAATTTATATTATCCTCCTTACTTTGCAAAATTGAAAAGCAATTGAATTTTTTTGTGAGAATGTAAGGTTTTTAACTAGGATGAAATGAACAATGCTGCTTTAAACAGAATAAGTCATGGAAGACCACCTTTTACACCACGTGTTTGTAAAGTTCTTCCTTTACCTCAGGAAGTTTTAGACCGACTTAAAAAACCTAAACTCTTATATACGAAAAAAGGAGATTTGACAGAATGTCAAATCTCCTCAAAAAGTGTCAGTTTACATGGCAAACAATTGCGAGCAATTTTTAGCCATTTTGGCTGAGAACTAGGGTCTGCGAGGTACATAGATAGAATCAGTACCTCGCAGACTCTAGTTCTCTATATGTTGTCGAGAAAATTTTTGGTGAAATGTCGTCGCATTTCACCAAAATTTCTCGGCGCCATAGGATGAATTGGAGGGTGTGAGATACTATTATATGTAATAGTACTCACACCCTCCAAAACCTCGAAAATCTCAAAATTTCCTGCAATTATCATCAACTTTGCATAGCACAATCGGCCAAAAATTCATTCATATTGAAATTAACATTGTTAGTACAATTGATTCAATAGCTAGTAAAAATGTATATAATAAATCAAGTATGAATTCGGATTTTTCATGAAGGAATTAAAAAGATGAGATTTTTCTTTATTGAAATTTAATAAATAGAAAGTATATTGATGGTGAAACACATCTATAAATATGGGGAAAGCAAATATTAGCAAGATTTCGTAAAATGTTTAGGAGAATGTTGAAAAAGGAGAAATTTTATTTTGAAAAAATTGATAAAAAATAGAAAATAAAAAATTGAAAAAATAGATAGTATATTAATAGATAAATGCAATTATTAAAAAAAACAAATTTGAATTTTGATATGGGAATAAAATTATTCTCACAAATTGTAAAGATTTGAGAGCGTTTTGAAAAAAATCGAAATTATCAAAATGGATAAATTATGAAAAGATTAATTGTGCATTTAAGTTAAATAAAAATATATTTGTAATTGAGATAATATAGGATAATTCAAAATTTGCTTTGAAAATGCATTTGAATAGAAGAAAGAAAAATAATGTTTAAAGAAAAAATAATATATAAGGCTGAATATAAAACAATAATTTGAATTCAAATTTACAATAAAAGTATTGTTTTTAAAATCAAAATTGAATAATTTGATTTATTTATTAAAATATATTTGATTTATCTTCTTTTTTAAAAAAATTACACATTCTCTCAATTTTTTATTATCCTTTCAAAATTGCCGATCATTTCTTAAAAAATTTTTGGATGAATTAATAATTTGATTTGTTTATTAAAATGTATTTGATTTATCTTCTTTTTTTAAAAAATTACACCTACTCTCAATTTTTATTATCCTTTCAAAATTGACGATCAATTCCTCAAAATTTGAAATCAACATTATTTATTATATTCAAATTTTGAAGGCATTCTCTTTCTCGTTTGTTTATCTCTTCTTATTCTTTCAGGGATCTCTAAACTATCTATAGCTGGCAAGTTTTTATAACTTGCCGTCATTTTTGCCAGTTCTTCAATTTTTTCATCTGATATTTTCTCTGTATAACAATTATTTAAATATTGGTCTACATTAATTCTTAATTCAGGTTTTTGATTGTTCAAATGAATTGAACTTAAAGGGATTTGCGTCTTTTAATTTTTTAATAAATTTATTAATTTTTGTTGCCGAATAATTTGGATAATTTTCTGTTATTGATTTTTTGATGTCATTTAATTTGTTTGTATAATCAACAGAGTTTATAGCCAAATTCAAAGACCATATTATTTTTCTACATTTCGAATATTTCATATCTTCGAAAAGGTGAAAAATGCATCTCCGTTGTTTTTGAATCAATCCATTTTCAATTAATGCCCCTTTAATAGCTCTTCCGCCGTCACTCAAGATAATTGAAATGTCATTTTTGGTGATTTTATTGAGAATTGTCTTAAATAAACTAGACATTAGTGGAAGATCTTCTTCCACAGACCAACCATATGCTATCGGAATAGCTCGTCTGGTTGGAGATGTAGTGGCAATTACCCCCATTTTACCCGCACAGATTGTATTGGTTCTAGTGGCATCCACAAGAAGAATATTGTTAAATCTTTCTGATTTAAGAAACAATTCTGATGCCGGTGGTAAAATTGAAATACATTTTATTATAAAGTTTGGATCTTCAATTAATTCGTTAACTTTGTAAATATACTCATTTTTATCATTTTTTTCACCTGTAGAAATAATGGAACAGCCTCCTGATTCAACAATATGATTATTCAATGAAATTAGTTTTTTGAAACTATTCACTAAATCAGAATCTGTAATATGAAAAATTGCTTTTACACGTTTTCGAAAAGTATCTTCTCCTATTTCCCTTTTGAATTGTTTTTGAACGATACGATGAAAATTTGTAAAATTATTACTGATAAATGATTCATTATTTGATTCAATAAGATAATCTAATACTATTGTGGGGATGGTTGTTGATTCCATACAATGCGAATGAGATTTATCAACTTGTATTTTGTAACATTTGAGCGTTTTGTCATAGTAAACTGTATAATGAGCGCCGCATTGACATGATAATTCATGTTTTGCTCTATTATAGTTCATAAATATGAAATTTTGAGATGTGTGGTATAATGCTGTAAAAAACGCTGAATCTTCATTGGCAAAATTAATGGATGTTAAATATGCTTCAATTGCTATAATTTTTTCATGCGAAACTTCAGATGTTGAGTAGCTAGGAACAGAATCGTCATTTTCATTATTTGACAATGCTTTTTTTAGATCTTGAATGGATGGAATTAATGGCCAGTCCATAGGATCACTCAATGGAATTTTGAAATCAATTGGATTTTGAGGTGGAGCATCAATATATTTCAGTAATAAAGACATTTATGAATTAGAAAAGTGACAAATAATAAATCACCATAAATAATATAAATTCAACAATATATATGATGCAATATCTATTATATAAAACATTCTGTGAATTAAAAATTTAATTTTTTTTCATGAATCATTTGTAAATAATATTTTTGCTACAGTTTTTCAGGAGATATTAAAAAATCATGACGATATTTGTTTGACATTATTGATGTTTCAATGATAAAAATAATAAATGGTGATTAATATTATGTTTCTAAAGAATATAAGAGACAACAGAAATAGAAATATGTTAGAAACTTAAAAATATATGTATACATAATAGCTTATGTTATCATAGCTAAATATCATTTAAACAGAATATGAAGATATAGAAAAAAGTGTGTATCTGATTTGAATCTAAAAATATAGTGTTTTACTGACAATGAATTGCTTATTATGTTAGCAATAATCAAAAAATCTATGAATCAGGATGAATTTGGTATTTTGATTCAAATTCGCTGATTGTATCTTCATCTAAGATCTCATAATTCTGTGATAGAAAATTAATAATGGAATCAGTAACAATTTGATTTTGTATGATAATTGGATCATCAATTAAATTTAAATATAAATTTAAGTAAAAATCGAGATTATCTTCATTTATTGGATTATTATTATTAAATGACTGAATTATATCTATTTTATGAGATGGTAGAATGCTTTTATCCGGTAAAATTGAATAAGAAAGTTCGCACATTAAGTCAAATCCTAAATTCTTACTTGAAAAGCATAGAGTCCGAGAGTTTAATTTGACAATAAAGCTTACCATTTCATTTATAATTGATTTAACTTTCAAGTAATTTTCTTTTGAATATATTAAAATTAACAAATTGCTAATATTGTATTCACTATATGTGTCAGATTTGCACATATTCAAAAAAATTATTAAATAATTGAAAGGCATAAACTCGTAGAATTCATCCATTTGAAACTTAGCGAGACAACACATAACATATGAAACCAATTCAATTGTATTTTTTTCATTTTGTATTGTAAAAATGTTTTTTACAGGAAAATTGACAAAATATTCACCAAATATATCAAATATTTGATGACTAAATTCAAGAATTATCTCCGAAACAAAAGTCAGAATTGAAATGGAAATTTTCTCAGATAGCTGAAATTCTTCAGTTAAAAGCCTTAAATAATTGAAACAGATCTGTTTTTCTGACGAAAAATTGAGTTTTATATATAATTGAATCAGCCTATGAAGATATTTTTTATCTTGTGTTTTTATCAATTCAAATAGTAAAGTTATATGTAAATTCTTGATTAATGTGTCATCTTTTGTTTCATTATATGTTATAAGTGTTAATTTTAATATAAATAAACTGTGTTCACTAAAAATGAATTTTAAATTTAAATCCTTACATACTTCTAAATCCTTTAATACCATTAGGAGTTGTTTAAATTGTTGAAAATTTAATAAAATTTCAAATGGAAAGTTAGTTGTTAACCTGTAAAATAAATCATATGCAACTTCTTTTTGTAGCACTAAATCAATGTCCGAAAATTTTGAAATAAGAAATTCAAAATCCGCATTAACTGAATTTTGCCCTCCAAAATCGTGTTCAATTGAGCAGCAATTAAAATTTTGATCCTGGTAATTGTTTTCAGCCTGACTATAGTTTTTTATCTCTTTGTAATTGGTAAACATTAAAAAAAAGTAAAATTATATAAAAAGTAATTGTTTATTTAGTTAGTTTTTCCTTCTTATGCTTTTGGTTCTTTAATTTCTATATGAGATTCATAAAAATCCAATAGGCTTTTGATATTATATTTTTTGACATCGTCCCTTGAACACTTATAAAAGTGTCCATTGATTTCACCTCCACACATGTATTTCCCATTTTCAATCCACATATGGGTAATTTTAAATTTTTTAACTTTAATTTCTTTAGGAGGCGCCTGAGTTTGGTTCCGTTTCTCAAAATTCAGGGTTTGTATACATTACTTCCCATCTCATACTAGCATACCATGGAGGTAAACCTAACGCAGCGTCATTTGACATGACAGTTTGCATTTGAACATTAATAGCTGTTTGACCATATTGGTTCAAAGCATCTTAAATTCGAGCTTCATCTGGTTTCTTTTCTGGGTCGTTTACCTGTGTTAAAACTCTAGGTGAAACTTGTGCGTCCATTTAGTATGAGATAAAAACATCTTATGAGTACATATGTTTAACTGTTTCTGGTATAGGTTCTTCTTGTCTGTATTTAGAAGCTACATCTAAGAAATATATTGCACAGTGTAAGAAACCTATTATTAATATTCCGACTTCAAACCACATTTACTTACTAATAAAATTTCTTTATTGTGACATCTTCTCCAGTTTATAGGACCTCTCTCATATTCTATTTTTTCATATTTAAACTCATAGTCATGAATGTATTCTAACCATCTCATGACACTTTCCAAACCACTTTTATCGGATGTAAAGTAGAAACATGGGTGTTTATGTAAAACGTCTAAAGTTTCTAAAGAGTCTCTCAAAGTCCAGTCGGTTTGGTATTGAAAGTCCCAAGTGTTATAGAAAGGTGGGTCTACAATAAAGAAAACATTTTCCTTATCTTTATATTTTTCATACAAGTCTCTCCAATGACACTTTGTAAATGCTATACCTTCTATATATTTTGAGTAGTCTTCTTTCAAACCATTTGTATAGTTTAAATATAAAACTTTTGAGAGAAGTGTTTCTATGTCATGAACTCTTATAGCGCCACTATACAAAAGTCTCGCAGAAATAGTATCCCAGTCTATATATTCATATTTCTTTAATATTTCACCCACAATATATTTTTTATCTACTGGTACACGTTCTTCCTTTTTTACCTCTATTTTTTCTTTTAACTCACTCAATATTTTGTTTGTGTCAGGTATATGTTTAAGTCTTTCTATATAGTTGTCATAGTCATTGCATATTATCTCTGAGTCGGAAAAGTGAGGTGAACTAAGTACGATATGTAAAATGAACCGCCAAATAAGTCTATAAATGTTAAACCCTTTGGAAGTTTCTTTAACTCACTCAAAATAATATCTTTGCACTTACATTTGTTTCCAAAGAAAGGCAGGGGCGGCTTCGAGTATAGCATACTTTTAAAAATTTTAAAAAACGGTTTTTGTAAAATGTTTATATGAGAAAAGTTGTTTAGAATAAAAAACCACTCGGTCAATGTGCTGTCACCTTTTTAAAATAACCGCTAGTTCTCATTTTATAAGGGAAACAAGTTCTCAAGGTATACTTGCTTGGAACGCCTGTAACTTCCCGAGTAGCGACGATAGGCCATTACTTGTCCGAACAGAGTTATACTATTTTGAGCGCCCTACAAAAAAGTCAACGGCGACGACTCTCAAAAACTGTTGTGTAAAAAGTTTTACCGTTGCGCAAAAATACATGTTTAAAAAATAAAAGTGTCAATAACTCTACAATTAAGCGGTTTGGACGGTTTCACTAACGGAGACTTTTCAATAAAATAAAAAAATAGATGGGATCTCCGTTGGCAAAACCGTTTTTATTCAATATTATTTTTTCTCAAATAAGTAGCCACTTAATTTTTGTCTAATGGCATTCGCTAGCGTGTTCGCTCCAAATTCATCTGAAGAAATTGCTTGCAGACTTTCAGCTCCCACAGGTTTAGAGCCTCAATATCAAACTGCAGCATCTACACATTCTCCAAGCAGAGAGTATATAAGAATTTCCGAAAAAGTGACACTTTCAATAGGGGGTAACACTTAAAAAGTGACAATTTAAAATTCACAATAAATAAAAATAATAAATTTTTTTAGTCTATTAAATTATTCTTTTCTTTGAAATCCTCCAAAAATTCTTCGAAATGTTCTAAAATATAATCTGGAGAATTATAACAAAATTCATTAATTTCTAACATATACGTATCTAACAATTCATTTGGAATTTCAAACGATCTTAAATATGTAATTGAATTTTGTATCTTTTCATTTATTTGAGAAAGTTTTTCTTCAGCATTTTCCAATAAAAATCTTAATGGATTCAAATTGGCTTCTTGATTCTGAACAAAATTTAATACTTGGTATAAACGTGATTGAACTTCTCTTTTCAATTTTGTTTTATAATCTGTCAATCAAGGCTCGCGAATTCTAATTGAAGGAATAAAACCTGTTTGAAGTAAATCGTTTTTAATACGATAAAAGTAATTGGGTGCAACTTCTTCTAAAAGATTTTTGACAAAAACATCAATTCTTTGATTTTTAACGCAGCCAAAATCGTGATATTTTATTTTTAAATAAAGATTCAGAAACGTTATTCACAACGGTTAATTCATTTGGTCTGGCAGCGGCTATCCACTGTTGTTTATGAATGTCCCACTGACGTGTAAAGTATTGATTAAATTCCAATTGATCTTGAATTTTATCAATAATGTGCTCTTTATACATTTTTGCAGCATCTTCTTCTGTGCAATCACGATAATAACATAAAATGTTCATAAATTTTTCGACTTCTGATCTAATCTCTTCATCATTTATCTTTGAGAGATTCTTTTTAAGTGCGCGTATTACATGTAGCGCGCACCAAAAGATATTGCACTCCGGAAATGAATTCCTAATCCCGTTGAAAATGTTTAGTGCACAGTCAGACATGATAAATTCAGGTTCTGTGTGAGTTGTTTCAAAATATTTACTTAAGCAAAAAGAAATATTTTCACTATTATCTGGATATATTATAAAATAACACAAAGGGATAGAATGAGTATTAGCAAATTTGGTAGCTAATACATAAAAAGGAAATCCATGAATAATTAATTTAAACGTAGAGTCTAAGTGATAAATTGGTGGTTTTTCATGAATTTGAGAGATCATATCATTATCAGAGTAAATAAAAACCAATTTGTCTGGAAAATCAGTATCTTCACCTTGAATGTCAAAATAAATAAGGTCATCATGTTGATCTTCCCATTGATTAACATAGTTTTGTAAAGATTGAAATTGATTTAAAGATATGTCTGGTAAAGATCTCATAAGATCTTTTTGTTGTAAATAATATTTCAATTGATTGATTGCAGTTTGTTTCATAGTCATGTGAATACAAGTATGATCTTTAGGTATTTCAAGCGTTTTGTTGACTTCTTGTGTTGCATTAAGTGGACTTCCGTGATTCATGAGAAATTTTTTAATCCAAGCACGGTAAGTACCACTTGTAGGTGTATTTTTATGTTGTGGTGGTGGTCCTGAGTGAATATGAGTTAAGTTTGCAGATTTAAAAATGTAATTGTCGAAATTTTTAATAAATTTAAAGCCTGCTGGGCAGCCTTCGTATTCGCATCGGTGGTAGATTAATACTCCTGTTCCAATTGATAGTTTTTGTGGGTCTTTGACAAATCTTATGTTACCATGCAGCTCTGCAGCTATAACAAAACGAGAATATTCTAAATATCCTATGGCTTGATCAACCTCGCATGGAGGATCGGGTGGAGGATGTTGCATTGAGCAGCAAAAAGGAAAAATAAAATTGAAAACTCACATTGAAAAAATAACGGTTTAATAGAAAATATTTTTTTTCTTCTGAAAAAGAATTATCTTTGAGTATCTAAATTGGGATAAAGGATATAGAATAGATAACTAGTACTTAATATATGATACATGTACACGAAATGGAAGAATGTGTACTAAAAGAAAGAGAAATTTTAGCTTAATATTTTACATACGAATCAATTATCTTTGGTTAAAAGGTAGAATTGTTGGCTATGATGTACTGATTCATGATCAGTACATCATAGCCAACAATTCCTTATACAAAATTCAAAAACTTGGGTGCAATCAGTTCTGATTGCACCCAAGTTTTTGAACTTTCTTGAGGGAATTAAAGGGTGAGAGATTTATAGTCTATCTATATATCTCCCACCTCTAATTCCCTCCTGACAGCGGGAAACTTTGTCTGAATGTTAAACTATTCAGACAAAGTTTCCCGCTGTCAGCGAAAGAATTGTTCCATCTGGTGCATAGAGTGTGAATCTATGCACCAAATGGAGCAAGTCCCTCGCGAAATTGCCCAAACTTGCGTCGCATTTCAAAGATTGCGACCCAAATTTTGGCGATTTCTAGTAGAGATGGAGTATTTTGAGTCACTGACCTATATGCAGTGGCTCAAAGGGCTCCATCTCTACTTTGAAGCAAGGAAACTTTCCTCGAAATTTTGATAATTTGAAGAAAGTTTTCAAGCAATTAACAAAGGATTACTCGCTATGAGGTAAAAATTCTAGATTTTCACCTCATAGCGAGAGCTTCCCTTTCATTGCTTGAAAACTTTCCCCAGCTTCAAAATTGTGGAAAGGGCTGTAAAGTCGACTCCGATACCAGCAGGTACTAGAGTATTTAAAAGAGAAGCCCTCGTACGAGTTTCTATGAAGATCTTCTCATTCAAGAAGATCTTAATAGAAAATCGTACGAGGGCATTGGAAACTCGCGTCTGGTACATGTTGGTACCAGAGTGTTTGAGATTTGAAGACTCTGGTACTAACATGTACCAGAATTTATGATGAATTTAAGATGGACCATTATAAAATGGTAGCGGTTTGTTTCAAAAAAATTAGATGAGATTTGCATAGATATAGATTATATGATTTATACATATGAAAAATAATATATAAAAATATAATTTTGAGATAATTATGTAAATAATATTTTAAATATTTGAATTTGAGGTATAATTTTATAGTAAAATATATTATAAAGAGTATTTATATAAATATTGTAAAATAATATAAGTAATAAAAATTGAGACCCCGTCCCCGTTTTTGATGTTTTGTCACTTTTTCGGTAATTCTTATTGTTTCAAATTGCTTGCAGACTTTCAGCTCCCACAGGTTTAGAGCCTCAATATCAAACTGCAGCATCTACACATTCTCCAAGCAGAACAGACAATTCAAATTCAAATTTGTCCTGCAATTCGCTCAATCCAAAGCCACTTTCACTACCAAAAACAATACCAAACGAGCTCCGTATTACAAAGAACCACAGCAACGCTGAACTACGCAAAATACTACTCAGATTGTCTGAAGAATACTTCAATTCAAAGCCAGAAGAAAGAGTTCCTGCAACTTTTAACAAAGAATATTGTGAACAACTCAACAAAGTTCTTGCAGACTTTACCAAACTACAAAAAGAAACACCTGACCCATTCGAATTAGGTGACACAATTGTCAACTATTTTCCAACAATAACAAAGATAATTGTTGACAGAACTATATGTCAGCTTATTGAAAGTCTTCCACCCAAAGCTGCAAAAAAAGTCGAACAGTTTTGGGTCGAATTCAAATTAAAGAGTTACGGATATCAGGATGACGAAGAAGAACGTGAGTACGGACAAGAAACAGCAAAATGGCAATGTCTTAGCTCACTCAACCCCAAGCTCAAACCATTATTTTACTCAGACAACACACAATTCAAGTACGCAAAATTGCTATTCATTTCGTTAACCAAGCAGAAGACATTGAAGAAGGAGACTCTATCTCAGTTTATGTTTGCAACTGCAAGTTTTTCAAGGACGAATTTGGAGGACCAATTCTCATGCATGTCTTCAAGCTACATCAGCAACTCTACGTTGAAACTGAAATAACACTCATGCATGGAATGTATCTCAAGTTTGAAAGCCAATTGGAAAACACATACAACATTTGGCTTTCATACATTCAGTTCGATACACCAGATGACTTTGATGTTGAAGAAGAAAACTCTGCTCAAGAAGATGAACCACAAGACGCACCTGATGATGACGAATTTGTACCCGAAGAAGAAGAAGAATATCATTCAAGAACACCATCAGAAGACGACCAACAAATGGCAGATGCAATGGACAGTCAAGTTCCATGAAACTAAACATCTAATTTTATCTCAATTCCAACTTTTTAAAAAAAAGGATGGCAGGGTCGGTCACTCCCCAGTCACGCTCTCAACCAGGGGTCAGCCAGAGCGCGCCAGCGCGGAGGGTGGACCTTTTTTTTAATATTCATAGAGAAAATATCAAAAAAAAATCAAAAAAAGTGCTATTTTGTGGAGAAATGTGCAACAGGCAAAGTTTTTATTGTAACATGACGCACATATATGATAATGTAAAATATATGTATAAATGTACCTTATATAATATATATGTTAGAACTATCTAATATCACACTCATATAAAAAGTTTGCTCGATGTATACTATTTGTGCATCAAAAAATTTTAATTCTGAGTGAGGGAGTTGTATGACAGTCCCAACGGGAACCGCGGTAATTTACCGAGGTTTCCGCACACCGGTTCCTTTTTTTAGGAATTTTTTTAGATTAAAAAATATGCTTTGTAAATCATTTTTTGTAAATCGGCAAAAATTTGGAAATATTCTGACGACAATAAATCTGGGAATAGTATTTTTGTTTCGTACCGAAATGGCTAACAAAAAGTGACAGAAAACCTTAAATTGCGCGGCAATTTTAATTAAAAAATAAACATTAATTTTTGTGATTGATATTATGCATTTTATTTATATTATATAAGATTTAAATTTAGGGGAAAAATTGGAAAAAAAATAAGATTGGAAGTCTTTAGGTAAGAAGGAAAGGGCAAGAGATATATAGTGTACCTATATACCTCTTGCCCTTTCATTCTAAGTAGAAATGGGAGAAACTTTGTCCGCATCATAAGTTATGCGGACAAAGTTTCTCCGATTTCTAATGGGAATTGCAGGCTATGAGGCACTGATATATAATCAGTACCTCATAGCCTACAATTCCCCTTATTAGACTTCCAAACTTTGAGTTAATGTTAAGACATTAACTCAAAGTTTGGAAAACTTCTCGTAAGAATCAATCGTCAAAAACCTCGATTGCAGTTATATTCATTGTGTTAAATTTGATTTATTTTGAAATTTTTATAAATTAAATTTTATATAACATAAAGCGTTATGAATTAGTATTTCCATATGAATTTTATCTCGAAAATAGTAATTCTGTACAGTTATATTTCGGTTAATTTTGGAAATTTCTAGGAATACTTTAAGATAGTATGATTATATATAACTCTGCTTCATGATTTATTTTAGCTTTCGCGCAAATATCAGTTAACTTAACTCCATTATTTGATTTTGTGATGGCTTCACAAAGCCAATCAATATCAATCTCTTCTGGAGAATGTCTTCTCATCTAGAATATTTTCAATACTTTACATACAAACATTTTTATTTCTAAAAAACTTTTTAATTTTTTCTAGGATATATGAATGAAAATAGTTAGAACAAGATTTTGAAGCTCAAAACATTAAAAATTATTAAAGATTTGTATAATATGATTAAAAATGGGAAATAATATGAGGCAATATAAAGGAATATGAATATTAAATAAATATATCTAAATAGAAAGAATCAGAAAAATCAAATTATTGGCGCCAAAAATGTCACCTTTTTGGTGAGCCATTTCGGTATGAGATACTGGGAATAGTATTTTAAATACGAAAACAACCTATTTAAAAGTGTTTCGCTCGATTTTGTATAATTTCAAATTTTCACATATAGCTTTCCGTGAATTACCGTGATTTTACCGCCACATCAATAGTTTACGACACTTTTTCCGTAAACTGAGTAGTTTACTGCACTTTTTCCGTAAAATTGAGTTACGGGAATCCGTAAGATTACCGTACCTCACTTCTAGTTGAAAATAGCATTAGTATATAATAAATAGATATATTATTCATATTTTTGATTTTGAATTACGGAAAAAGTGAGTTCAGAACTTCCAATTATTATTTGATTAATTATGTTAAAAATACTATAAGGAATTAAAATACATAATGTTGAAATTTGAATTACGGAAAAAGTGAGGGTGAAAGTGAAGTGAAAAAGTAAGATATTTTTTGCTGAAATAATCATAGTTGTACAATTTTGAAACTATATGTAAAGCTATAAATTGAATAAATTCAAAAACAAAAATTGTTTATTCTTATTAATAAATTTATATTAATCAATATTTGAACAACCCGTAATTAAAATTGAATTCCTCTTAAAATTTAATCCATACGTTAATTTTTAATTTGCTCGGCGAATGCCGAGCTTCCCTACTTCTCTTGTCATTCCTTCAAAAACTCTAATCTCATCGCACTTACAAACATCATGATTTGATGTATTGTCGAGAAATCTTAGACTTGTTTGTCATTTGATTATAGCATTTTAAAGTCATCTCGAAAATCGATTAACAAGACAATTTTCCAAACATCTACATACAAGTAGATGATGGTAAACCCATTAGAGTTGTTTTGCTATGATTCCTCCAATCTTATGATGAGAAAAATCATATCAAAACAGCTCTAATCGAACATTCTACACAGCTTAGCATCCAGCTAGTTCCAAGTAATGCGATTACAACATCAACGGCCAAAGCCTTTCAGAGTCCTTTAATCATTTCTTCTCATCTCAATGTGAAGTGGCCCCAAACGAACTACAAGCTGACGTTACAACGCATTACAACCCGGTTAATACGAGCATATACATTAGAGCTGCTTTGTTATGATCTCCCTCATCAATTGATGAGAGATCTCATTATGAAGCAGCTCCAATCGAACTAAAAACCTACATACAAATGAGTGAAAACAAATTCATTAGAGTTGTGTTGCTTTGATTTCTCTCATCAGAAGATGAGAGATACCAGAACAAAACAACTCTAATCAAACTTTCTACACAACTCAGCACAGTATCAATGCAAAGTAATGCGTCTGTATCGTTAACAAGCAAAGTTGTTTCGGGTCCTTCCATTTTGGAAGAATTCGGAACAACTTTGCGAATTGATAGTGTAAACCCATATACATGAAAGCGTGCATGCATAAAGACAGGTATTGTCACCAATGACTACCTTCCCAGCTATGAGTGATCAGAGAATTACCATCTCAGACTTTTTGAGAACGTTTCAGCCAGGACCCTCGTATGTTGACTGTGAGAAAGGCATCCTTTATCTGAAATAGATGCTTTTCCAACAATCAAATTCGAAGATCTTCGACGTTGTTGTAAAAAGAGAAGGAGAAGGAAAGAAGAGGAAGGGGAGGAAGAAGGAAAGGAAAAGAAGAAGAAAAAGAAGGACATATTAAATATAATGCGCACTTAATAGTGCCGAGGCGCAATTTTTTTGACCCTATATTACCGCACGGCAATGTTTTTCTCGATTTTGTACAGCCCTAGGGAGTTGTGTTAGATTCATTATTATATTATGAAATATGAGTACATAATAATATAAATATACTATTAGTGTTTTAAATAATAAGTCCCTTTTTTGATGTGCAATTTCTGATCATTCTAAAAATCTCAAAAAACTCTATTGATTTTGAGTGAATTTAAATTTGGTGCCTGAGATATTTATTATTTTAATGTCTTTATATGAGTAAGTCTGTTTTTTGAGAAAATATAATTTATATCTAAAAAAGTTTGTCTGTTTGTACTCATTTTGTTAGAGATATCTTATATTAATATATGCTTTTTATTTATATAATAAAAGTTGTGTGTTTACTATTTATTTTTTGAGATTCTATGATAAAAAAGGTGACATTTTCCCGGGGGAATTTTGATCGAACAAATTTTGTGTATGAGTATGAGGAGATTGAGATCACAGCTGAATATATTATATCACTATATATACTAGTATGCTATCATATGCTATGAGTGTGTAAGATCAATATCCACAGAGATATAAATGTGTTTTTGTGATTAATAAAGACAATTATCGGGGGTCAAAAAACAATTATTGTGAGTTATGTGAGTGAGCTATATATATGAAGTATATATATGAAGTATATGTATGAAATATAGGAAACATTATATAGTATAACATATTATATAGCGCCGTTCCGGACAGCACCACCTGGTGCTGTGGAACGCTCACAACGAAAAAGTACAAAGGAGTTATTTGAGACCGATACAAATAGTCCTACCCCTACATTCTCATATATAAGGATTCATAATATATTATTTTTTTAGAGTTCTGCAGAAATTTCGCATAATATCATGAGATTCGCTCAAACTCAGATTTCGCTCATTCATATATAGAATGATTACACATATTATATAATATCATATCACATAACTTAAATAGAGATTAATATATTATTCGTTGAGATATTAGCATAAAAATCTATTTTTACATGACGAAATCCTCAACGGAGCAAAATCGTGTATATCATATTTATAACAAAGATCACATTTGTATATGTTTAAACACATTCTCATATATATATCATTCATAGAAGTTATCTTTCAAACACACTCACACATAGAGATATTAATGAAAATTTCATTCCACCCGCATCATTTTTTCATTATATTACCCGTAAAATGCAGTGTAAACTACACAATTCCCCGCTCGGGACGGAAAGAATTGTGTAGCCTCACACATTCACCATACACAATTGACTATTATACAAAACGAAGGCACACACGAATGTAAATTTATTTGCATTCTTTATATTGCATTTTAGTGGTAAAAATTAAAATTTATGTTTACATGGAGAAAAAAATTTAACTTCCAAAAAAAATCAATTGGGATAACAATAGGGACAAAAATTTAGAATCCCCATATGCTTGGGATAAAATCACATGACTATTTTTGTTTTTTAAGCTCATCTAAAAATTATTAGCAAAAATACGAATTTAGATACATAAATTTGAAAATAGAAAATTTTTGGATCGGTAAATATATGATATTAAAGAATTGAAAGAGATAATAAATATGAATAAGTTCATTCATACCGGTTGATGATAAAAAAGAACAAAAACAAAGGGAACCATATCAAATCCCTAAAGACTCTAATATAATGGTTGAACTTATATTAATGTCTGGTACTCAAACTCAACATAAATAGTTTACGTGGCAGAAATTCTTTGCCATGTAAAGTTTACATTTTTAATGGAAGCGAACAATGCAACTCCTGCTAAGGCTCTTGCCATCAAGAAGCCAGAAGTGACTGAAGAACAGTCATCTAGCGACGAGGAAATCCTCATGGGTGCCGAGAGTCCGAAGACTGAGATCAAGATCCCCGATCTCGGACTTGAAAGCCAAACGGCACTGAGAGCGGGACATAAGTCTACTCCTCGAGAACAGCGTTTGGTCAAGACCAATCATGTTCTAATAGATAGGTTGAAGGAGTCAAACGCTGTTCTCGAAGATCTAAAGCTCAAGCTGGCTGAAAAGTAGAGGAAGCGAAAGGCAAAGAGCTCTACATCATCCAGCTTGAGCTTAAGGTTGACTCTTATACAAATAAGATCTGCGATCTTCGATCTCGCCTCAACCGTGTGGGACACGAGTCTGACCGCTGGCATGAAAGGTTCCTTATGGCGGACACATCCTACCATGAATTAAAGCGCACCATAAGGAACCTAGCCACCGACTTCTGATTCCCCACTAAAACTCAGAATAAACACTTAATATTATACTTTACTCCAATCATATTTGTAGTTGATTAAATCTCTTCTTTCTTTTTGTGATCTTTTTCTTGATCTCGTGTAGTTGATGCTTCAGACAGCAAACCATCTTGCGTGAAGGTGGAAAACTTCCATTGTAATTTAACGCCTTCACGCAAGACAGTTCTCGTTGCTTAAGATCTTTGATCGTCTTTTGGAGATCAAAGATCATTTCTTCCTCTCTTGTTAGAGGAATATATATATCCTCTTCTTCCTTAGCTTGATTGCTTTCGTCTGATGAACTAGTGTTGTCGTCGGAGGAGGGCATGTTAACGTCGTTCTCTGCCATTAAAAATATATGGCACTTTTTAGTAAAAAACGTATATTGTGTCGTCACCCGTGGCAGAAGGCTACGGGTGACGCACAATATATACTGTACTGATATCATCCTAATTTTTGATGATCTTGTCCATCATTTGGAGTCTGCGCTTGATATTCTCCCTTTTTTCTTCTGGAATATCATCAAGATCAATGTGAACAAAGTATAAACCTCCTGAGGTGCGCCTCGCTGTCTGAGGTCTTGGGCCTTCGATCTGGTTGATCAGTCTTTTCGTGATCCCATCCAAAAAAGTTGGTTTCCCAAATGTCTTTTCCTTTGTGGGAATGATGATGGTTCCTTTATTCATATTGCTTCCCTCAGTGACGTCACTCATGCTAGTGCGCATTAAAAATAGTGACACTTTTCGAACGATAAAAAATACATTGTGCCTGGGGAGAGAGGGTCAAAGTTGCTATTTGTCACTTTTATAGGAATATATTGGGGAAAGAGTTATCATATAGCCGATCTCATTCTCATAAATGAGAGATGCATATAGTGTAATGAGATAAACTGCTTGATGGTTGCTAGAAATCCATTGTTCGGACCCCATTGGCTTCATTTTTTTCTTTTCTTATTATGTAAACTATTCAATTTTTGTGTTCTCCATTCAAATTTCAGAGTTTTTTGCAGATTTCACGCTACATTCGAAGTTACCTTTTGTAACAACCACCACCGCCTACGAAAGACGAAAATGTGTCACGATTTCACCCGGAAATCCGACGGTTGTTTAAGAATAACCATTTTTGGCACCTACTCGTCAAAAGACCCCGACAAACTTGCCCATTGTCACTTTTTTGAAAATTCATGACCAAAAAATTCTCAGCATAAAAAACAAGATCCAGGCAAAAGCAATAGAGAACTAATATTAGTTACAAATGCAACGAAATAATTACTAAATCATGGAAAATTTAATTCACTTAGAAAAATCAATATAAGCATTTATCAATCAATAATATGGTTATTATTGATGAATATCTGCTATAACATTAAATAATCAATGATTTTTAGTCAAACACTCCTAATTAATTATAGAGATATTTTTATAGTTTAATCATATACATTATTTCTCATATCTATCTAAATATTCACCATATCAACTATAATTACAGTATAATATCGTAATTATATTTAATACTGTTTTGCGTGTCAAAGAGGAAAGTGTCACTTTTTGGGTTACGTATCAAAAAGGCTATTTTTTGCATGCAAACAAAGGAATTAGATGCTATGAGGTACTGATATATGATCAGTAGCTCATAGCCTCTAATTCCCTCTCTGTATCGAAGAAACTTTGTCTACATAAGATATAATGCAGACAAAGTTTCTTCCATTTATAGTAAAGATGAGAGGGTAAGAGGTTTATAGGCATACTATATACCTCTCATCTTTACTCTAAGACTTCCAAACTTTGGTTTAATGTCAAGACATTAAACCAAAGTTTGGAAGTCTCATAAAAGGAATTGGATACTATGAGGTACTGATCATACATCAGTACCTCATAGTATCCAATTCCTTTTTTCTCAACCAAAAACTCAGTTATGCAATTTAAATCTGACATTGTAAAGCAAAAAGTGATATTTGTAAACCTTCCCTCTTTGACACGCAAAACAATACTAATTTTTAATTTTGTACATACTAAATATTAACAAATATATTTAATTTATATATCTAATCAAAATTTTTCCAGATCTAATCTTTATCAAATATACGCTACTTAACATTCAATTTAAGACTAATTGATTTATCAAATTATGATCATATAACTATTCAAAATTCAATACTTTTTCAATTTCAATTTTTTCAATTTATCACTTCATTTCTCACTAATGGAACAGGAACAATACCCTGATTTGTAAAATCTGTTCTCGAATTGAAATCAAATGTTTCACATTCTTTAAAAAAGTGCAAGTAATTACCTGATAGACCCTGCAAATATATGAGCAAATCAGGAATTGTGTCTGACATATTTACATCGCGAGCAAAAAGTGCAAGCTTTTCCCATGTGTACAGAATGGAAAAACTATCTACTTTGGATATTCTGCATCAGAATCTCTTGCTCAATATACAATAAAATACAAGATAAGTATCTCCAAATGCCGATGTGATCATATATTATTGTCGATTAAAATTTGAAATCTCAAACAAGATGCAGATTAAATAATGGATATGTGACCAAAATGAGTTTACAAATACAATATAGAGTATATATATAGATATCTCATGGTATTCAAAATGAAATAAAACAAAATTTTTGAAATTCATATCTTATATAAAACACATTATTCCTCAATATTATATGAGTAAATATGACTTGATTGTTATAGATATATGCCCATATATTTGGCCACCAATATAAATTCTATATTTTCAGGAAAGCAAAAAGTCCAATCGGTGTTTGGTAATTTTCACCTCACATGGCACCACACCATAAGTTTTTATTCGTATAGGATGTAAGTTTCTGCAAGTTTAAGCTCTCTACAATTTGTTTCGAAAATTCCAAGATTTTCTTTTCAGTTGTCAGTCCATATGGCAAAAGGCTGATAACGGATTTTTGAATTGCTCTGTCAAGGGCTCTCAAAACTTGAAATTTACCTAATTTTTATTAATCTAAATACTTCGGGCGTCATTTTTTGGGGCGACACGAGTGTAAACTTCTCAATTTCTCACAATTTTTCTGAGAAAGGGGGCGACACATTATAAAATATTGAGAAGAAGGGCGACATATTATAAACCTAAAAGTGTCAATAATTTTTTATCGTCGAGGAAGTAAAAAGTGGCAGGAAAATAAAAAGTTAATTAGCTTAGTATTATAAATGAATTTATTTAATAAAAATATTGTGAATATTTTTGAGAATGTCATAGAATAAATTGTGAAAAAATTAAATTGTAGTTATATATTATTATGTATAATATATATAATATAATTTAAAAAAATAAACTTTATGAGAACTTTTGAGATAGAGTTTTTAAAAATGTTGGACTATATTTAATGCGCTTCATGGAGGGATCTGATGCCTGAGAAGCATTGTTTGATAGACAGTGCCTCTCAGGCATCAAATCCTTCCCTGAAGCGATTTACTTATATCAATTAGTTCAAATCAATAACAAAATTTGAGATCCAGAGCAAGAATTGCTGTATGAGAGGTGATGGAAAGGATTCATTACTTCTCATCAGGCAATCTTGTCTCTGGAACAAGAAAAAAAACTTTTTTAAATATTTTTTCTATCAAAAGTACTCACAATTTGTTTATTTTTTAATTTTTAATATATTATTCAATTAATTATATCAAAACAATATTACTAATCTTTATATTCTATACTTATCAAAAATATTGAGAAATTTGTGATACTTCCTCGCTCATAAATTCAATAGTTTACATCTATATCAAATTTCTGCCATATGTCGCCCTTTCTCTCAATATTCTATAATGTGTCGCCCCATTTCTCACAAAAATTGTGAGAAATTGAGAGATTTACACTCATGTCACCCCCTATTCTAGGGGCCAAATACTTCAAATGATTCTTATAATTTCTATTGAACTTGCTTCAATTTTCATTGAAAACGATCATATTTTGAAAGTATGTAAAGCAAAAAGTAACACATCACTTCTGACATATGCGTTTACAACATTTTTTGTATGGAAAGAATTTTTTAACTCTAATCTATAAGATAATTGTAAAGTATTCAATTTTATGACATGTAAACTATTTGTCACGTATACTTAAGTGTCATTTTTTAGAATTTCATTGGTGCTAGATCACTGTTTAAGAATTTTTAAAGAGGAATTGAAGGGTGAGAGGCATATCGACATACTATATGCTTCTCACTCTTCAATTTCAACTCTAAATGGGAGAAACTGTATTGTATCTTATGCAAGCAAAGTTTTTCCCATTTAGAGAAGGAATGAGAGTCAACCAGGCACTGATACATAATCAGTGCTTTGTTGGCTCGCATTCCCTTGAGAAACTTTGAAAACTTGGTCGCAATTGCATCTGATTGCGCCAAGTTTTCCAACTTTCTCATAGGAATTGAAGAGTGACAAGTATATAGTATGCTTAGCTGACTCTTACCCTCAAATTCACATATTTTTGACGCTAAATCTCACTTTTACTAGTGACCCTTTTCCGTATGAGATAGTGCTTTTAGAAATTTCAATAAAATTATTATTGGGAAATTTGTCTAATCCAATTAAAAATTGTTCATTTTCAATCATACAAAAATCGGTTAAATCCTCAATTGAAATTGTTTTTAAAATGATAACTTTTTTTGTTTTCAGGTAAACATCTCTTATCAAGGACTATAAGATTTGAGGATTCTCAGATTTGGATAATGCTTTTCATAAGGATTTCCAAAACAGCCTCTAAATTAGAATCATCTAGCTTTGATTCAATTCGACAGTAATGAAAAATAATTCTTGTAATACTTTCATAAAAGTAGGTGTATACTACGTTTCTTTGTTCATAATATGAACATATTTAACATTTAAATTACATATTGTTGCTAAATAACTGATAGAATCTGCAACGATAATTAATATATCCTTGGGCGAATACTTGATTTACCATATCATAAGACGAAATGGTGGAAGTGAACTCAAAATAAGAGTAATTAGGTTATTTTGCCGAGCAAATATATTTACAAGGCAAAATATCATATTACATGTCAACCTATTATCAGTATGTTTTGATTTAAAAAAATTTTATCAAATATCATATTAAAATTAACATCTATATCTATATCGAGTGGGGGACAAACTCGCCCGTTGTCACTTTTCATTAACCTTAAACTTGTAATTTTCATTATTTTTAATTAACCTTATTTCTTTCCCAATTCCTGATTTATTTTATTCACTTACTATTAAAAGTCACATTTTAATAAAATATAATAATTTATTTATAGCATTTTTTAGTATACTGTAATAAAAAATTAATTATAATAAATTAAATGTTTATTAAATCAAATGTTTTCTTTGCAATAATATTTTTAATGTTGAGTAAACAATGTTGGGATCAAGTGTATCATTTTTCAGACCTTTCTGAACAGCTTCAAGCAGACTGATGCATTCGACTTTTTTAAATTGTGTCATTTCTTCGAAATCTCTTGTGACTTTTTTGATAACTTTAACACTTCTCTCTGAATCCAGACCTTTAATTTGCAACTTAATCAGGAATGAAGGAACAACACTGGAATATAACTCGATGACAAGTTCATCGAGTCGAAGATTTGGTTGTACACCACTTGTATGTGCCGGATACCATTGTGTCAAATTTTTTCTGAAATTAACTTTAAAAGTACTAAGTAAGATCATGAGATATAGCAATATATGTTTAAACCAACTTATATTTTGG